GTCATTTTTAAAGAGTCATTTACAAATTGTCATTTTTTATGAGTCATTTTCAAATTGTCATTTTTAAAGACTCATTTTCAAATAGTCATTTTTAAAGAGTCACTTTCAAGTTGTCATTTTTAAAGACTCATTTTAAAATTGTCATTTTTAAAGAGTCATTTACAAATTGTCATTTTTTATGAGTCATTTTCAAATTGTCATTTTTAAAGACTCATTTTCAAATAGTCATTTTTAAAGAGTCATTTTCAAGTTGTCATTTTTAAAGACTCATTTTAAAATTGTCATTTTTAAAGAGTCATTTTCAAATAGTCATTTTTAAAGACTCATTTTCAGATTGTAATTTTTAAAATGAAAACCCGCGATCCCGATTCGCATCAAGTACCTCACGCAGCAAATCGAAACTCGTTTTCGCGCGAGCGCAAAAAGGGTACCGCGACCGTAGTGAAAAAGAATTACAAATGAAATTGTTAACGACATATTACATCAATCTCCGTGTTGCCCGAAAGCATTCCCGTATCGTCGATCATTTCTGAGGGCAACGCGTTCAGAAAGAAGGGCCGTCCGAATAAAAGAAGCACGAAGGAAGAAACACGTCCGAGGAACTTCACAATAACGTTTCATACTCAGGGAGCATAAGCACGTTCGGCAAACGGGTTGGCCCGGCTATATCGTCGTTTTTCTCTTTGTACCTTTTGTCGAATTTATCCATTGTGCCTCGGGTGTAACGCGCGGCTAAATCGAGGAGAAAAAGACAGGGCTCACGGAGAGTCGAGAGAGAAGATAGGAGAAGGGTAGGAGAACGCAAGAAGAAACGTCCAAGCCAACAAATTGGCATTACGGCACACGTTACTGGATGTACCGTTACTGTCTCAGTTCCTTTTTCGAATCGTATCGCTGCTTGTATTCTCGCGTGTGCACGCTGCACAGCCTTTCGATGTTTCGCCATTTTTTCACGGGCTTCTTTTCTACTATACGTGTATGGGGACCTGTTTTCTGATACTTTGATTCAGGGATTTTTTTTTTATGATATTACTTGCTATTGATGTTTTAGAAAAGAATGATGATTGATTTGTTAGGATTTTTGAATGATATAAATAGGAATTTTTTAATAGCAATTTTGTGCAAGATAGAAGTGCACATTCCTATATTCCACATTCCATTTTTCCAAAATTCCGCAGTCCTCACATTCCACATTCCACACATTCCACTTTTCCAAAATTCCACATTCCCCACATTTCACATTCTCGAATTTCACCTTCTCAAAATTCCACATTCCTCACATTCCACATTCCTAAATCCCATATTCCCGAATCCCACATTCTGGAATCCCACATTCCCGAATTCCACCTTCCCGAAATTCCACATTTCTGAACTCCACATTCCGGAATCCCACATTCCCGAATTCCACCTTCCCAAAATTTCACATTCTCGAATCCCACATTCCGCAATTCTACCTTCCCGAATCCCACATTTCCGAATTCCACCTTCCCGAATCCCACATTCCGGAATCTCAGATTTCCGAATTCCACATTCCGGAATTCCACCTTCCCGAATCCCACATTTCCGAATTCCATCTTCCCGAATCCCACATTCCCGAATCCCACATTTCCGAATTCCACATTCCGGAAGCCCACATTCCCGAATTCCACCTTCCCAAAATTCCACATTCTCGAATTCCACAATCCGGAATCCCACACTTCCGAATTGCACCTTCCCAAAATTCCACATTCCCCGCATTCCATAGTCCCAAAATTCCACATTCCCTATTCCGGCATTCATGAATTCAACATTCCTCACATTCCACACTCCTAAAACTCCACATTCCCGAAACCCACTTTTCAGAATCCCAGATTCCCAAAATTCCACATCCCTCGCATTCCTCATTTTCCACATTCCACATTCCCGAGTTGCACATTCCTCACATTCCGCATTTCTGAATCTCGAATTTCTGAATTTCACATTCCTCGCATTCTACAGCCCAAAAATTGCACATTCCCGTATGCCACCTTCCCCACATTCCATTCCCAGTATTCCACATTCCCCATTTTTCACATTCCCGTTCCGCCATTCCCAAATCCTACATTCCCGAATTTCACATTCCCTATCTTCGCATTCCAAAATCCGCATATTCCCCATTTCCGAATTTCATATTCCGAAATTCCACATTCCCTATTTTCACGTTCCATGTACTCCCCATTATGAAACTACCATTCCCTCCAACATCTATATTCCCAAATTTCACATTCCTAAATCACACATTTTCACTCTCCCCAAATCCTACGATCTCAACTGCTCTACCCACCATCCTACACTTCCAAAACCCTATACCTCTACAGCCCCAAAAAACAAATCTCCAAAACCGTAATCCCAGAAAACCACAATTCCAAAAAAATTCCAAAGTCTCCATTCTAAAGATCCCAAGTTGTACCAAGATCCCGTTGTGATGCCGGAACAAGTACATTAAAACTAAAATTACCGTAGCGTGTTGAAAAATCTGCGCTCTATCTGTGACTCTAAAATACCTCAGCGTAACGTATCATTTGCGCAATCGTTTCGAAGAAAGCTATAAAGAGAGCCTAGCCGTTTCTAGAGTTAAAGGGTTAAAAATAGGGGAACACACGCACGCGGATAGAAAGAAACACGATCTTTTGAAGAAACCGTGGTGGCGTATCGAGGCAAATGGAGCGGAATCACGCGTACATCGTCGCTCTAGCGCCACGAGCGATAGCAGCCTCGCGTGATCCCGTATGCCACGACATCGATTTGGAATTCGTATTAAACAGCGTGCACGCGAAATAGAGAGCACGATTAGGTTTCTATATTTCTTTCCCGTGGCTGGAACGAACCCAGGCTTAATCTACCTCGCGCCAAGTCCTCAGGATGATCGATTGCACCGACTGCCACGCTGATCCTCCTCATGTTCCACGCGAGTTCCAGGCCACGCTGACCCTGAACTTCGTGTAATATTCGCGATAAATGCGGCCTGACCGTGTAAAGCGACTCAAGAAGGTGCACTCGCAGAATATTAATGACGACTACACCATTAAATTACAGAAATACTTCTTTCTTTTCTTCGCCGATCAAAAATTCTGCCGCATTTTATAATTTCAAGCTTTAGACGTGACCGAGCGTAATTTGCATCGCTGATAATGGTTAACGGTACGACGGACAATTTTCATCGCTTCTAACTGTTATTTACACTTATAAATTATGCAGTCACGTTTGGGTACACAGTTATAAATATATTTGTATTTATTGTGTACATTTAATTGTAAGTTGATTCTTCATCCATTTTTGTGGGATTATCACTTTCGATAGAAAGGAAAATTAGTTACGTTTTCAAGGAAAATTAGTTTGGGTGATGGTTTGAGTGTAGGGAAATTTTTTGAACGATCTTTATCTTTGGTTGTGTGATTTTGGTACTTTGTGATAATTGCTCCTTTCAAACCCTTTTCAGATCGTTTAATGTAAGGACCAATATTTCCGAATTTAGAAATTCCCCAATTTCGACATTCCCCAATTCCCACATTCCCCAATTTCCATATTTCCCAACTCCCACATTCCCCAATTTCCACATTTTCCAATTCCAACATTCAGCAGTTTCAACATTCAGCAATTCCAACATTCAGCAATTCCAACATTTCCCAATTCCAACATTCTCCAATTCCAACATTTCCCAATTCCAACATTCTCCAATTCCAACATTCTCTAATTCCCACATTCCTCAATTCCCATCTTTTCCAATTCCCACATTCCCCAATTCCCATATTCCCAATTTCCACATATCCCAATACCCACATTTTTCAATTCCCACATTTTCCAATTCCCACATTTCCCAATTCCAACATTCTTCAATTCGAACATTGTTCAATTCCAATATTGTCCAATTACAACATTCTCCAGTTCCAACATTCTCCAGTTCCCATATTCCCAATTTCCACATATCCCAATTCCCACATTTTCCAATTCCCACATTTCCCAATTCCAACATTTCCCAATTCCAGCATTCTTCAATTCGAACATTGTTCAATTCCAACATTGTCCAATTACAACATTCTCCAGTTCCAACATTCTCCAGTTTCAACATTCTCCAATTCCAACATTTTCCAATTCCCACATTCCTCAATTTCCACCTTCCTCCATTTCAACATTCCCCAATTCCAACATTCTCCAATTCGAACATTGTTCAATTCCAACATTGTCCGATTACAACATTCTCCAGTTTCAACATTCAGCAGTCTCAACATTCAGCAATTCCAACATTTTCCAATTCCCACATTCCTCAATTCCCACCTTCCGCCATTTCAACATTCTCCAATTCCAACATTCAGCACTTCCAACATTCCCAATTCCCACACTCCCCAATCTCCACATTCTCAAATCTCTACATCCCCAAATTTTTTTCACTCCCGTTTCTGCAGTTTAAGTACACTTCAGACTCTGTGCCAGACAAATGAAATAATATTGACAATTTTTAAAATAGTATCTTATCTCGATATCGAATATTTATTAACCTGCCCCTCAGACAATTTATCCATACAAAAGTTTAGGAACATCACAAAATGTGAAGGTTTACGACTCAAAGTGTGATTGAAATTTTGATTAAGAAAGAAGAGACAGCATCAACTGATTCATCTTAGAACTTCAATTAAAAAAAATGTCTTCATCGCGAGTCGACTTCTCGAGTATACTCGACTTCATTTGAAAGTCTTGTTTGTCTAATTGTAAAAATGCAGCGAGTGTTTATCCAAGCTGCACGTTGATGGTTCGATCGTGTACATTGCGAAGTTAGAAAAGCGGTATCTTCATGAACTTCGAACACCGGCTACATCTTCCGCGTGCGTTCGTAGAATCTCTGGCAAGCCGATGTTCGATGGATTTATTTTTCTTTCTTAAACAAGGAACGTTTATTCTTAACGAGCATTAGTATTTCAGTTGTCATGCGTTAATGGTAAATTTGCGATTTGCTCAAGAGTCCTCGTTTTGCATGTTTGTTCCAGAGCTCGAATTGGTTAAATTGCCGGAGGATGTGACCCTGGCAGGATTCACGCCTCTGATGTCCAATCCTCAGGATCCTTGCTATGCTGAGAAGAATGAGGACATGGTAATTATTTTTAATAACTGTTATTATTACTGTTACTTGTTATTGTTATTTTAGGAGGTATTTTTTTAAGGTAATTGCAAAGTTTTTTTAAGGTAATTGATAATAGTGGAATTGTAACAAATTGTCGTTGTTGTTGATAGTTTAATAGCTGGTTCTTGCGGTGAACCATGGGATTTTTGGTCAGTTTTTGAATTTCATTCTCAAGGTACATTGACATGATTCATTATGATACATTGTTATGGTACATTAATTATTTAGGTGCATAGAAATTAATGAAGAGGACATTTTTCTTGATGAGTACATAATGTGACGACTTCACTAGTGACTTTCAATTTTTGCATCCTTAATTTTTAAAATAAATTTGGACAATAAATATAATCATTGCAACTTTCATAGAACATGTGACGACTTCACTAATGACTTTCAATTTTTGCATCCTTAATTTTTAAAATAAATTTGGACAATAAATATAGTCATTGCAACTTTCATAGAACATGCGAATAGTATTATCTTGACAATAATATACATAATGATATAGTAAATAAAAATTCAAGAAAAAATTGCAAATTAATATCTCTAATTCTGTCACCATGTCTGACCATACGTGTCCAATTTCACTGCAACACATGTCTTTCAACGAACTTAAAATCAAAGCATCAAACTATGCAATTTACTAGTTGCAAAATATTAAATATTCGTATAACTCTCATCGAGAATGCATGGTATTTAAAAAATTGAAAAGGTTAATTAGAAGTTTGAAGTCCAGAATTTACACCGAGTCCTGTTAAAAGCTTTTTCAAAGAAACCAGCGTTTCATTCGCTGCCAGGATTGTACGTACTGAGTCGATGCTCGTGTTGTGTTCCAGGAAGTTGCTCAAGTATGCCTCAGGATAAACAAGATTCTGTTCTTCGGCCAAGTGTTTCTGTGTGGCCTCGAAACGCCGGTGTTGAAGTTGCAGAAAAGCGAGACCGGTGTCAGCGAATACGTTTCTGTGGTCGAAGCATCCAGCACTAGTACCCCGAGTTCACCCCCTGAACAGGTAATTCATTCTTTCCACAATTTATCTGATCTCTGCTTTCACTAATTTTTTAGTATTTATACTGTTAGGATAGGTTAGGAAATATCTGGATTTTTAGATTTTTATAAGCGTAGATTTTTACATTTTTAAAGGTGGGAGCTTGCAAGTTTCATGTACACTACCGTCCATAAGTATCCGGACACAAGCGAAATATGCATTCGCGTTGCATGAAAGTTATTCAAGTATCTGCAACAGTAACTAAAATCGATTTTTTTTCTGCGAAGGTCAGAATACTGGAACGTTTTTCGATTGATAATTCTCGTTTGGAATTCGTATCTCGATGGAAAAGAAGCTACAGACGAACTAAACCGAAACTGTCGAGTGCATTGCGTTACCTTCATTCTTATCTCCATTGAGGGAACCTAAACATCTACCAACAGTTTACAAACACTTGAAACATATCGAAGAACCCTCTGAATACGTTCTGCACCATAGAAATGAAACACAGTAGAAA